CCCCCCCAAACCATGGAAAAATAAACTACATTTGAAAAAAGAATAACAACCTGATGAGTAATTTTCCCTGATGTACAATTAAGCCAGCGTATTTTGCAAATATCTTCCATGCTGACGTCACAATCTTCCAGCTGTTCTGTGTTGAAACTCTGTCCCACTCCTCCTTCCCCCAGAGCCTAGAACGGTAAAATTTGTGGCAATAAACACAAAATTCACATATTTTTCGAACTTCTTAATGAGAAGTAAAGAAATATTTCCTTGCCAAAGAGAGCTATAGCTTGTAAGTGGTAAATAACATCTATTAATACTTCTCTTCATAATAAAAAAAAATTGCATTTGAAAGTTAGTAGTAGTAGTTAAAGAGAAAATAATACAACGGACAAAAGAAAAAGGGAAAAGAAGAACGAAAAAAGGAAAAAGAAAAAATGGAAAAGAATTATAATTTTTAAGGTTTTTTTTGGAAATCATCTTTTTATAAAAAAATTTCTTAACTCATATAAAAAGCTATACTTTCCTGCGCTGATATTATAGTATTACTTCTTTTTATTTTTTTCTTCAGAATACACAGAACTGCAAACGTCACGGCAAAGAAATTTCCTTCGCATAACAAAAAAAAAATTTATAATACTTTTCCCCATCTTTACTGTTCTCTTCGCACTACCTATCACTTACATTGCTAAAAAGTACGTGTAGAAAGATGAACAAACCTGTGACTCGCTAGTAAATCGTTCCAGCAATTCTGCTGTCGTAGCCAGGGCTTCAGGATCAACTTCATATGTACCATAATTATCACCTATTACCAGTTCTGTCCAGTTCGTCAGGCCTCCTCCAGCACTTTTGCTGAGGAAAAGTTCCAGCCTGTAAATTACCACAGGCTTCGATTCTCAAGAATTTATGCACAGCAGTTAAAGCTTCTATAACGCAGTTTATCCTATTGTAACTATACGTGTTAATGTACGTGTTAGACCCGTTACTTGGTCCTTGACTGCAGCAGCGGCAGACAGAGGAAAAACATCAGCAGTTTATTCTTCTAATAAACACTTCACTCCGGAGAAAACGCCGAATAGTATGACGTGGACAAACGATAAGCCGGGGCACCGCAGAAGCCGTGCAACAGAATGTCAACGGCAGACGGGGAGACGAGACGCTTGCAGCGTTGGACGGTCGAACGGCGCCGTAAACTGACGATTTCCACGAACTAACTAACCGAGGATCTGGATCAAGGAGGGGGTTTATACAGGGAAGATTAATGGAGGGAAAAGGAGGGCAAGTTGGTTAATCAGTAGGAAGGTAGATAGTATAGAAACATTTGGAATTTGGTGGAATTGTTAGAAATTAGTAAGACGGGGGAAGTAGGTCGAAGTATTAGTAATTAGTGGGAGCAGGAAAAAGGTGTAATTACAGGGTAACATATGATAATTCAGAACAAGCTTTTATGTATTCAACTAAATGTACCTGAAATACCTAGAAGATTAACCTGATAACCTAATCTGAGTCCCAGAACAACGTAGCTGGCTGTTACGTCCCTGTGGGGTCTTTGGCTGCAGCAGCGGAAGACAGTGAAGAGCGTCGGTGCTTTATTTACTAATTAAAAGCTTCATTTCAATGGAACGAGCTGGGGCGTCGCACAAACTATTCAACAGAGAGAAAGAGAACGTTAATCGTATCGAGGCAGCCAGTTGGTAGCGTTAGTCATATCAAAATGTGGGGCGCGTTGGGCTCGAGATTCCGACCCCCCAAGGTTTTCGGCAAGAGGCTTATACGGGATAAATTAATGGAGGGAAAAAGAGGGCAAAGGGAGTTAGTAAGTGAGGCGGGTAGATAAAGTAAAATGTGGAATTATTTAGAATACAGTAGAAGTGTTAGAAATTAGTGAGTGGAGGGAAGTAAGTCCAGTACAACTGACAATTTTTCCACTTGCTTTGACCAATGTTCCACGTCGTTTTCTGGTCAGGTTGCTCGCAATCTTCACGCTCAATTCACT